TACTAAGGGTTAGTTTATTTTTTGGACAGAGTCCCCCTTTTTAGAGTGCTGTGGCATCATAGCTCACAGCAACCTCAAACTCATGAGCTCAAGGGATCCTTCTTGCCTCAGCCTCCCAATTAGCTGGGACTACAGGCACCTGCCACAATGCCCAGCTGGTTTTCTACTTTTAGTAGAGGCGGAATCTCACTCTAACTCAGGCTGGTCTTGAACTCCTGAGCTTGGACAATCCACCCACCTCGGCCTCCCATCCTGCTAGGATTACCGTCATGAGCCACCGTGCCTAACCCCTACTAAGGTATATTTTAGTATTATTCTGTGACAAATTTACTTAGAATATGATTATACAAAGTCAAATTTATAATTTAGGAAATTTCCAATTTAGGGAAACAAAACTTTTCTGGAATTACATTAACATTCATTGTTTCATTTCTAATTTCATCTTACCATTTTCACGCTAACCCTTTATTTCCATTACATTTGCTTTTTTAGTCTCCCTTTTACTGCCTCACTTTTTGCTTTCATTCCTGTAACTGCTTTTTCTGCTGCTTTCCTGAGATCTCCCAGTTTAATTTCCTCGCTTTCTCTTCCCTGATCCCTTCTAAGTCATGCATTGTTTACATAAGCAACCACTTCGTGTTTTTTAAATTGTTGCACATTGCCTGGCTGCAAGGCCTGTCCTCACATGGCACCATTCAGCAGGAGAGTCTTGTTTACCTCCTGCTTTTCCTGCTCCTTGCCTTTTTGGTGTCATTTTTGCTGTTCCTTTTTATTACCTTCCAGTACATTTTTCCTAATCCAACTATTGGAAAGAATTTAATATGGGCCAGGGCACAGATCCATATTCTAAGGCAGCAGGAATTTCCCTTGGGGCAACCCAAGTTTGAACGTGAAACTTCCAAGCTTTCATTCTTCACAGCCCAGAGTCAGCCAAATACCTCGGGCAGACACTTTCCACATTTCTCATGGTGACTCCTCTTTCAACCCTGCTTCCTGTGCAACTAAGCACCAAACTAGGTCCCAGAAAACTTTAGAGCTAGCCCCAGTGTCCCTCTCGCTGGCTTCTCGCTGGCTTTGGTGTTGAGCTCTCTCCATCCAACCTGTGCTCCATCCCTCATCCCTGCTCCATCCCCATCTCTTTTTAGCAGCGCCTAAACCTGAATTTCAAGGTTTCACGGTTCTCCTAATTTTATCAAACAGAGTTCTTTGTCCTTAGCCTCTGTGAGCCAGCTTCCTTATGGGTTAATGGCAGCCACTTCCTCCCTTGCGCCAGTGTGTGTAGAGAGGTATGAAAGCATATCTCAAGCCACAGACAAGCAGTCTGCCTATAATGTCTTTTCCTACCCCTTCTCAGATAATTATCCCATGTGGGAAGCCCACTGTCATGCCCTGCCTCTGCACATGCTGTTCCCTCTGTATCACCTCTCCTGGCAACCCCTGTCTCATGACAATGACAACCAGCACAGCCTTGCCCTCCCATCAGACATGGGTGTCTTTTTGCTGTATCCCGCTGCACTCTGCACCCAACTCTATTTTGCAGACAATAACCTCTGCATAGTCACCACAAAGCACTAGGAGAATCTACATGTGACTTCTCCACACTTCTCAGTCTCTTGCCCCTAATGTAGTATCTGTATGAGCTGTGGCTAAAAAAATCTCGATAGGAAAACAAATTAGCCCTTAAAAGGCTCAATACCATGGCAGCGCCTGTGGCTTAAGGAGTAGGCACCAGCCCCATGTACTGGGGGTGGCAGGTTTAAAAGGCTCAATACCAGTCACCAGAAGGGACTTTACTGGGCATCCAGTGGTATACTTTTCCACCACTACCCATAATCCCTTCCCTGGAGCTTACTGGAAAATGGCTATTTTCCAGACCAGGCTCAGTGGCTCACGCCTGTAATCCTAGCATTCTGGGAGACCAAGATGGGTGATGGGCGTATCGCCTGAGCTCAGGAGTTTGAGACCATCCCAAGTAAGAGCAAAACCCTGTCTCTACTAAAAATGGAAAAACTAGCCAAGTATGGTGGCAGGAGCCTGAGGTCCCAGCTATACAAAAGGCAAGAAGATCACCTGAGCCTAAGAGTTTGAGGTTGCTGTGAGCTATGATGCTACAGCACTCTACAGAGGACAAAACATTGAGACTAGGTCTTAAAAAAAAAAGAAAGAAAATGGCTATTTGCCTAAGCAGCAAGTTTATTTCTACCTACCTTCCATTGACCAGGTTCAATGACCTCCTCCTGCGATGCCGGGAACTTGACACTTGGACACAAGACCTTGTCCTCCCAGCTGTAGTGTGGCTTTCCGGTTTCTTCAACCCTCAGGCCTTCTTAACTGGTAAGGGCTGCAGCAGGGCAGATCCTATGGGCACGGAGATTTTGGCTTGCTTTCCTATGATTCATATTTCCTCTAGAATCATCAGTCTCCTGCCCCTTCTCCATAATGGCTGAGCAGGCCAGGGAATAAGAGTTCCTGGCAGGAGCAGCTGCCAAGTGAGGTGGAAGTATGGGCTGTAGTAAAGGGCTGCAGTCTCTACAAAAACCACCAGTGTGTAAATTCCCAGCTGCCCCTGGAAACCTTCATTCAGAGACAAAGAGGTTCTCCTGCCTCAGTTACCAACCCATGCTCGGGGCAGCCACAGGCAAATGCCCAAGAGCCTGCCACACCCTAGGAGGCTAAAGGATGCCTCAGCTTACTGCTACCTCCTGAAAACCTCGGACAACTTTCTGGTCCTATTCCATATTTATTCCTTTTCCTCCCAAAGCAATCATGCAGACCATGGCTCGAAAAAATGAGTGGCCACTAGATAAAATGTGCTTGACCGTTGATGTCACCAAAAAAATGAAGGAAGACTATGGCCATCCCCCCAGAGAAGGTGCCTACCTCCACGGGCTCCTCATGGAAGGTGAGACACCCTGAAGGGTGCGGAGAATCTTTCAGACTCTGATTCAACTTGGTATTTGTCCTTTGTTTGTTCTGTTTCTCCACATCTACTCACAATAACCTCCTGCTAGTGGTTATTTATCTGATCTCTCCCTCTTTCAAATAATTTAAATGCCAAGATGAGCGTCCAACGTGAACTGAATTGTGAGGCTTTTGGGGCGATGGCGCGTGCTTAAATTTTGCATCTGTATCTGGGGTTAATGCCACGAGATATCTTGAGACTTAGACGTACATTTACATTATTCTGTTTTAATATAATCAGTTCAAAAATCTGTCTACTTTTTAAAAACTGAGCAAATGTGTTCTAGTATTTTACTGCACCAATTCTCCAAGCCTTTAAGAAGTCTTGCGGTGTGAATCTCTAAGAGGGAGCTAGACTATGCAATATTGTCCAAATTTATTTGGCCATACATTTTATTCTTCAGGACATTTGGTTCCTACCAAGATGTTCTTTTTTTACTTTGAAGATCTGAGCTTGTAGCACTTGTGTTAAAAACCGAGTAGGTGAGGCAAATAAGCAACCTAAAACCAGTGTAAGTAAATCAAACTGTAAGGCACACCTCTGGGTGTGGGACCCTACAGTAAGGCTTCTTCCTAACAAATGCAAACATTTGTAACCTAATTTTGTATACCCTTACATTAATCTGAAATTTTAAAAAAAGAAAAAAGTAGAGGGAATGTGGTGAAGTGGAGATTTTATGTACTTTTTTTTTCTTAGTTTGCTTTATGGTATCTGAATTCTAAGAGAATCTTATTTCATAAAATTACTTAAAGGTTAGCCACTGCACATAGAAGCTGGTGGTATCTCCGCTATAGGCCAGAAGTCATGGGCAAGCTCAGTTAAATAAGCAAAAACATGACCGAACGGGAACATTTATTGCATCAAACAATTACATCATCAGTATCAACATGCCACACTGCTGTGTTTTTGCCGTAGGTGCCAGGTGGGACACCCAGTCTGGAACCATTGTTGAAGCCCGCCTCAAGGAGCTGACATGCACCATGCCTGTTGTTTTTGCAAAAGCCACCCCCGTGGACAGACAAGAAACCAAGCACACCTATGAGTGCCCTGTGTATAGAACCAAACTGAGAGGCCCCAGCTACATCTGGACCTTCAGGCTGAAGAGCAGGGAGAGGACTGCGAAGTGGGTTCTGGCGGGCGTGGCTCTGCTGCTGGAAGCCTGAGGTGGCATTTCTGCACCATTCCCATACATTTTAAGTTATTCAACTGAATTTGTACTAACTTACATGTATGTTGACTTTTAAAAACACTATCCTTAAAAAGTAAAGGGGAAAAGAAGGAAATGCAGAAAAAGTCCTACTGAGAATCTATGTTCAGTGATTTCAGCTTTCCCTGGAACCCCTCTGAAAGCTCATCCCACAACCCAACGAAGTACAGGATCTCACATTTTCATCACGGTTCCTCTGAATACACAATCTCAAAAAACCAAGCAGCTGGAAGGAAGGGGGATAACAGCAAAATCTTTTTAAATTAAAAATTAGCCCTTAAAAGCAGCAGGGATCCGAAAGGGAGAAAGTCCTGCTGGCCAGTGGTGCTTGGGGCCTCCAGTGTCCGGAACGTGACAGTCCACTAATAAAACCCCAGGACTCTCACGCTGTGGTTCATTGCACTTTGTAATTTAGGGGATCGTGCTTCAGTATAATTTCCCATGAGTCGGAGCAGATTTAAACTATGATCACTCATGGTAGGGGCAAACTACAGAGTAAATAACCCCTATAAACACTTGGCCTAGAGTTTCTGTTTGGGAGGTAAAGCGGCAAGGCCAGGTAGATAATTAACATCAAAGGCAAGAGCTGCTTATATGTTGTCATCCCTCTAACTTCCTGAATTTTACCCCATTTAAATTGTGCTTTTTAATCATCAGCAGATATATTTAACGATTTGGGACTCCTCTGCTTTGCTGTCTTCCTGAGAAATCTTTTTAAGCATATAAACAATCTTTTTTTAAAAAAAATAGTATTTAGAAACAGTAAACTCTACAAAGCATTTCAGCATAAAAACACAACATTTAAAATCTTAGGCACAAATGGTATGCATGTCTTGTTGGAGGTCTCTAAAGGCGAGTTGGCCGGATCTTTTTTCTCTTAATTATCTTCTACCAGCTGCTTTTGTAAGCTGAGAAAAAGAGAAGTGTTTGATAAGCAGTTAAAACAAATATAAAAGCAGCATTCTAGCTAGAGAGGTTCACCAAGAGGTGGACCTCCACCCCTGCCACACACGTACACACCCACGACTACAAAGCCAGAATTCAGATCTCCTAACATCCAAAATTCTGAATCCTTATGCTTCAGTAATAGTTATTGCCCCCCCCCCCAAGACTTGCCTCACTCTTATGTTCCAAAACCACAACTCAGGAGTTTGCTATGTAAATTTAACTCTCAGTACACAAGTCTGTCGGGTGCACAGCGCCTGACCTCCCCCTCCACTCCCACAGGTGATGTGGCTCCCTCCTCAGCCGCCCTTGTCTATACCTTCCATTTCTGTTATGCAACACGGGGAAAATTTTGGCTAGAGGCAGTATAGAGTTGAAAATTCTAGCAAAAGAAGGAATTTCCTAGTATGGGAACTATGTGCCTCAGGCAAATAAATGCAGAACAGATAGCACTGAGATCAGCCATGAAAGAAGGCAACAAGTCCCTGCCTAGAGAGGCTCCCATGCTGTACCTGGGGATTTTTTTGTTTGGTTTGTTTTGTTTTTTGGCCGGGGCCAGGTTTGAACCCGCCACCTGCAGTATATGGGGCAGGCATCCTACTCCTTTGAGCCACGGGCACCACTCGCCCTATAAGCCCCATTTTTAAACGGCTAGAGACTTACCTCTCCAGGTATTCCTTAACGTTATCATAACCATAAAACTTGGCCAGATGAATGAGGATCCCTGTAGCACAGCGGCCATCACGCTTCCGACAGTAACTGCAGTTACAGATCCCACGGCAGGGAGGACACACCCAGGCCTAAGGGAGAGGACAGGACGTAAGAGACATTGCCCCACCATCCTGGGCTCTGACAAGACCTGGGTTCTAACCCAGATGGGCACAGCTTGACCTGTCCTCCCCTTTTAATCACACAATGTCCATCATTCTGTGTCACGGGGTGCTCTTCACGGGCAGGAAGGGTTATCCAGGATGCTCCTTTCTCACGAGGGCCCAGAAAGGCTGATCACCCCCCACATCTCACACACTGAATTTAGACAAGACCAGCCATGGAATTAATTAGAAAACTTGGCTTTTAGCCAAGTCAGTCCCAGCCCTAGTTTTAGGAGCACGGGGTTTCCCAGCAGTCATGGTGTGAATTCTCAATCCTCTAGTATCTGTGCTTATTGTTAAATCACTTAGCCTTAGTGGTGGTTTATGCTCATTTGGCTGCTGGGGACAGTACATTTACCTGCTTGAGAGACCATCAGGAAACAGGTAAGAGCATGCGCTGTGAATCTGGACCGCCCAGGCTCGGGCACACTTACTGGCCACAATGCTGTGACCTCATTTTGCAGAGAGAAGCCACACACCTACCTACTTCATGAGGTTCAACAAATTAATAATTGAAATAACTGAAAATCAAACACCTGCAGTAACAGATGTGAAACAGTCTGAGCACAGTGCTGGGCGCACAGCACTCCAGCTACCCCACCCCTGGGCTGCCCAAGAAAATCAAAGGGAAATCACTGGACGGGAGGTAAAGGCAGAGGGAGTAACGTGTACAACAAGAGACAGCTGGAAGAAAGCTTTTCTCAGACACTGGAAAAAAACAATACAAACTCCTCTATCAGCTTGCTCTCTTTCCCAAAGGGAACCCTGTTTTTCATTTCCACTAGTCTTTTTTATTTTTTTTTTAAAGAGACAGAGTCTCACTTTGTTGTCCTCAGTAGAGTGCTGTGGCATCACAGCTCACAGCAACTTCCAGCTCTTGGGCTTAGGTGATTCTTTTGCCTCAGCCTCCCAAGTAGCTGGAACTACAGGCACCCACCACAACACCTGGCTATTTTGTTGTTGTGTTGCAGTTTGGCCAGGGCCAGGTTTGAACCCACCACCCTCGGTATATGGGGCCGGCACCCTACTCACTGAGCCACAGGTGCCGCCTCCACTAGAGTCTTAAGATGCAGAAGGAAAGAAAGGTGGGAAACCACAGCTCTGCATCTGCCAGTCCCTAATACGGACTCACGGGGGAGTGCCATATTCAGCTTGTTTTCTTCATCAACACAATTTAGGACAAAAACAAACACTTTCCTACCGGGTCCAACAAGGCAGACCTCACATCCTCCCCGTAGCGGTTCCGCAGGCAGGGCCCACAGAACTGTCCTCGTACACCACCGCAGCCCTGGTTCCGGCACACCGTCTTGGTGTCGATGGTCTTCTGCCGACACTGATGGCACGTGTTACCCTGGGGTGGGGGGTAAAGGCGGTGAGCAGGTGAACACAGGGCCTGTGAGGCCAGATGAGGCCAGATGTCATCATTTATGTCGCCAGGGGCCCAAAGCAGCACTGCCTGTCCCCTTGAATGTAACAGGGCTGGTTCCCTAGTACAAACCACGCCATCTACCTCTACACCAGTGACTGTCAACCAGTGTGCATTGTTAAGATCATTTTTAAAGATCGTTATTTTTGAAAGAAGTTTAAAGCACAGTAAGTATATCCTTTTTTTGTTGTTGATTGATAAAATTTAAGTGTGCTGTGAAAGTTTGTAGGATCAAGGGTGCTCTAAGATTAAAGAAAAAATAATACTGCTCTAAGCATTTCAGTTCTGGGGCCAGAAAAACATACTGGGCCAAATGAGGCTGAGCAGAGAGCCAGGGGGAAGAAAACAATCGGGATGTCAGGAAGAGAGACCAGGGAAAAGCTCAGGGCAACAGGGTGGCAGACCACACAAAGTGACAGGTGACCAAATGGCCATGAGCTGTGGGTGCCATCAACTCCACTCCAGCCCACCGCTGGAGACCTACATATCTTTACTGTAAAACCTCCTGTTTTAAAATACCGGCAACTTAATTAAAAACACTTTAATAATACCTTAAGAAAGGGCCCCACTCCTTAGCCCCCTCCAAATGATGCCACATAACACAAAGCCTCCCTCCAAATCACAACTTGGAAGATATTTTAACCCATTTCCTACCAACTACAGATACCCTGTCAAACTTTATTTTCAAGGGTTATATTACTACCCATGTGCGCTATCCTTTACAATATTTAAAACATAAAAACGGTATAAATATGTAAAATGAAACATATATAAAAATCCTTTTCAAACTTTGCCTCTGCCTTCCCCCAGATTCCGCGAATCCCTGAGAAAGCAGCATCTCTCCCCTGTTGAGAATTACTGCACTAAGCTGTCTCCCCTTTCCCAGTCAGTCAAAGCTGAGTCTTCACCCTCCAATGTAGAACCTGCCGCTGAGCCCATGGGATATAGCACTGCAGCCCCTAACACAGCCTAAAAACAATGTAGGATCTCAAATGTCCATGCTGTAGGCTCCCAGTAAGAACTGCAATCATGCAAATTATTCATCATGGATACTTTACCAGAACTTTATCATAGATTTTATCCCGAACAGTTATGGCGACGTTTTCCAAATCCTCTTCAGTGATCTCTTCCACTGGCCGAAAAGATGATACACGGTGACGTCGTCTATACTGGCATTTACCCTGCCAGATGAACAAACGCAGAACCCGGAATGAGATTTTAAGCGGTTAAAAAAAAAATTATACAAACTTTAAATTCTTGGCTGGGCATGCCTATAATCCTAAGATTCTAGGAGGCTGAAGCAGGAGGCCGTTTAAGGTCAGATGGAGCAAGACCCCACCTGATCTCTACTAAAAAATAGAAAACTTTGGATCTCTGCTAAAAAAAATTATACAAACTTTAAATTCTTGGGCATGCCTATAATCCTAAGATTCTAGGAGGCTGAAGCAGGAGGCCGTTTAAGGTCAGATGGAGCAAGACCCCACCTGATCTCAACTAAAAAATAGAAAACTTTGGATCTCTACTAAAAAAATAGAGAACTTAGCTAGGTATAGTGGCACATGCCTACAGTCCCAGCTGATTAGAGGCTGAGACAGGAAGATCACTTGAACCCAGGAGTTTGAGATTTCAGTGAGCTGTGATAACATCACTGCACTATATAGCAGAGATGAAAGGTTGAGAACCTGTCTCCAAAAAAATAAATAAAAAATTTACTTTCAAAGATATACCACCATTAATATTAACTATGTCCTTTTTCTACTTCCCTGGAACCATTTCATTCATTTAGTCAATTACTGAGCTCCTGCAAAGCTTCCTTCTTCACAAGGTAATGCAACAATAAATGAGAAATTCAGGTTTCGGGCTCTTTATTATATAAGGGCTCTATAGCGACAGGGAAGTAAACCACGTGAACCGCTCTGAACAGCCAAACCCACAATGAGAAGGGGCCGAGTTTCTCCCTCCAGGAACAGAAAGGCAAGGAGGAATCACTATAGTTTTCCACATGCAAAACACCATAAAGCTGACTGATGCTGTTAGAGGTCTTTATTGCCTGTAGCAGAGATCAAGTTGGGGTCCTAAGGAATAAGCTGCTTCTCAGCTCAGCAGGGATAAAGGACTCTCTCTGTGACCTACAACTTAGACCTGGGCTTCTTCTCAAAGTGTGGTCCTAGTAGCATCAGCATCACCTTGAAGAAATCCAAGTTCTTAGCTGCCGCAGATGTCCTGGATCAGAACCTCTGCACTCTGCACCAGCCCTGGGGCATCTGTGATGCACATTTTAGGACTGGCAGCTCAGACAAAGAATAATTCATTTATTAGGCAGCAAATACCCCACTAATCGTCTTCCTTCTTCTGAAACTGTAAAACTCTTCTGCAAACTTGGCCCCTGAGATAGTGAAGTTCTCTAGAGCAAACTTCTCGGGAGGCCGCGCGCTTCGGGTCGGGTTCATGCGCCGTGGGATCTGTCCCTCCGAGAAGGCCCGCCTCACTGGTTTCTTCTTCTGAAACCAAGAGCACAGACAGAGGAGCTCATGTGCACCTGCAGGCACTGTGGAGTAAAAGCCATCTGGTGACGACTACTCAATATCAAGACTGGTATGAACAATCGTGAAGAGTTCCACTTACAGAAGCTGAGGTCGGGGTTCGTGCTGGGAATAAGTCTGGCACCGAGTTCAATTCTGCCAGTAACTGAGCAAGCTGAAGTTCAGAACAAAAGAAAGGAGCTTCCGTAAATAACACTGCTGGTCTAGGTCACGCAAAACCTATCACAAGTCTTCGATTTGTCTACTGGAAGAAACCTAACTTGTGCTTTATTGAACCCTCAGCCTTTATACTTTTAATCTCACAAGGTAAAGATTTTGTCTCCAGAGGAACGATGTTGATATCGTCATTCACATGAATAAATGATGAGCCTACTCCTGATACATAAGGATTATGACATTGTGAACACAGTCCTGGAACGGTCAAGCCCTGGAGCACGAGGTCTGAATCCTGACAGAAGGGATCATTATCGATGGGACCCTGGAACAAATCATCCTGCACACCTCCATCTCAAGTTTCAGCATGTTGTATGGAGAAGAAGTTCAGCTACGTGATCCTAATGGTTATTCAGAGCTCCAAAAACTTTGATTCTAAATTTAAATAGGTTCATTTCTCATCCATAAAAACAAATGATAAAAATATTCCCAAATGAACATCTAAATTTTCACCAATAGGCCTACTATTAATTAATAGCAGAGAATTTGATTCACAGGATTCCTTTTTGTTTTACACTTACATAATTATATAGGTGTCACTAACAAATCACAAAGACCATAGTTCTTATTTTTTTTTTATTTTTTTTTTTTGAGA